TTTTTTTTTTTTTTCAATGGGCATCGGAATAACGTGCGAATAAAGATGAGCAACATTCTTGACACAATTTTCTTTTTTCCATTCCAATTTGATCATCGATCAAATTGCCTTTTTGGAACAATGCGAGGCCAGGGAGACGAATCTCTTCGACAAACACTCGCGTGAAACGAGCTTCCAACATCCTCGTACCCTTTATAATTCAAAGGAAGGAACGAATAATTCTAAAACATGTGCCTGGACACCACGTAGATAGCATCGTTTCAACGTTAATGGCAGTGCTGAAAGCTCTCGTCCGATATTCCGCTGGAGAATCACAAAAATACAAATTAATGATACGGTGATTGCATAAAGTTATTTCCAATAGTGCGCAGGATTACGTTTCCAGATAATCGTGTAATGTGTTTTGGGACTGAATAGTCGATTAGTTTTTCTTTCTTTTTATCAATTCTTTTTTTTACTCGAACGTTCAGGCCGGACGAGGACTTCGGTACAACTCAGTAACTTATGCCAGCAAAATATTAATTTTAATGAATCAACAGCAACAGACACACATACGGTCAAAAAGTAACATACGCGTCATCGTCGTTATCATCATCATCATCATCATCATCATCATCATCATTATCATCATCATCCTACTACAACTGATCATTTAGATTCTCGCGCAGCACGATCGGACCAGAGATCATCAATATTTCGAACTTTTCCGACCATATTTTTTCTTTAGAGAATCATTCAACATTCGTGATGCTACTCACATGCATTCACTCTTACCTTTTTTACCTTTTTTACCCTTTCTCGCTCTCTCGCTCTTTCTCTCTCTTTCTCTTCCTTTCTTATGTAGTTTTCATCCCCACTCGTGCATCACCTCGCTGCATCAAAATGACAGTCAACATTCCGAGACCATTTATTTCGACCATTAACTTCAGATCACGCCAACAACAGTCATTCGATGATGCTTCAATTGCTTCAAACGAGTGATGGTGTGATAGTTTAGTAAGGAATTGGAAACAGGACGCGGGCTTCGTTGGCAAAGCTATAGGAGGACAAAAAAGCTAGGAGCTTTACAACGAGTTGCGCATTGATTCAACTTTCTCGACAAGTGTGTAATATCGCTCATTCAATAGTGACATGTTTTATTTTATACACACAGACTCTCTGCGATTTTACACGCATACATATTAATAAAATCATTCTTACTAGTTCAATTAATAGAGCACATACTTCCTTTCGCAGCTCTACAGTCTCTCTCTCTCTCGTTTGGTTTCCCTGCATTTTCTTCAATGTTCACTTCATTCATCC